GCATCTGGGGATCGCCACACAATACAGAGGACAGCTCTGGCTTCACAGTACACCGGCATGATCCACACTGACTCATCAGGCAACTGTCACTCCCAGGCTCCTGGTACCTGATCAGTTAAGGAGGGACAGCCTGACAGTCTCTCAATCTAGGAGGTCCATCTACTCAGAGCTTCTTTGGAATAAGTAGCAAAGGCTGATGACTTGCCCATCAGACTGAATGAACAGAGGGAGGAGAGACTAGGGTGACCCCAGCATCTCAGAAGAGCTGGCAACAGTGAGCCCCCTGGTGTGTGGTGGGGATCCCAAGGCTGCCTCTATTTCCCAGACAAACACACCTAGCTCAGGTTCCCATGGAATCTCTCCCTGCACATACTTTGGATTCTCTGAGCCTACAATCTCCTCAAGGGGAAACCGAGAACATTAATCTAACCACCTGCAAGATTAGTATCCCAGATGTATAACTCTTCCACATCAAGAAGAGATGAAAGGCAAAACACACTGAGCCAGCAGCAAAGGATAAACAGGCAATTCACAGAGGAGGGAACCTCAGCTGGCCAATGAAGGCACAAGGCCACTTGACCTCATTAGCAAGCAGGGAGAGACTAAGGAGCACCATTATGGGACACTACCGTGCAGGAAGCATACTGACATCACATAGAAAAGCTAACGATAGAGACTGAACAAGACCCAGAGCAGAAGGAACCGAGGGGCGTGCCTCCTGCAGTGACATGCAGAGCTGAACATACACTCCAAGACCCAGCAGAGTTCCTGTGCTGGGACTAGACACAGCAACAGTCCCAGCCAGGTTAACTGCTGGTAAGAACAACCCTGAGTCTCCAGTAGGAGAGGACCTGGAGGGTGGAGGGAAACAGCCACAGATGGAGTGCCATGTAGTAGTTACAATGAACGGGAGCTTCTGAATTTACAGATCCAAACAGGGCAAGGCTTTTATAGTTTCAAAACCTCAAAGACAAGACTGAGATGGGTCAGCAGGTGAAACGTAATGGGGAAGGAGAGGGAGACTGATGGCAAATGGGGCGACAGAAATGTTACAAAACTGGACTGGGGTGATGACTATTTAGCCCTAAACAGTTACTACAAATGCCAGTGACTTCTATGGTTAGAATGGGTCACTGTGGTGGTATATAAATGATACCCTGAAGAAAGCAGCTAAATAATAAAAAATTATCCCTATAGACCCACGTTTTATTTTATGTGTATAGATGTTGCCTGGATGTGTGTGTACCACATGTGTGCTGGGCGTCTGTGGAGGCCAGAAGAGGGCACCAGATCCCTTGGAACCGGAGTCACAGTGAAGCTCTGGGAATCAAATCCAGGACTTCTGCAAGAGCAACAAGTGCTCTAAACCACTGATCCATCTCTCCAGCCTGTGAATCTGTATTTTAAAAGTGAGTGGGGGCCAGGCATTCAGACTTTAATCCCAGCAGTCAGAAGGCAGAGGCAGGAGGGTCTCTCCAAGTTCAAGGCCAGCCTGATCTATGTGGTTAGTTCCAGGCCAGCCAGGGCTACCAACTGAGAAGTGCATGGGAATGATAAATAACAGATGCAGGGCAGTAGTCTGGAGGAAAGATGAGACTGGAAGGGCACAAGGGGCTCTGTCTCTCATTTATTTTAAATATAAAGTCAGAAAGGATTTGAGACAAATGCAGACTCTGACAGAAGCAGGAGTCTATAGATAGGGGTGGGCTTTGTTCTCGCTGTGCCTCTGGAACGCTGACGTCACACGGAGTGTCTACCACCCTCAAAGAGCTATCATGACAACGAAACCCACACCCAGGGCTCCATCCAGGGCCAGTTAGCACTGCTGTGGTTGGGGGCCTCCTGTGCTCTTGACCTTGTGTGTCCCTTATCAGTACATGGGAGAGGATCCCAACAAGACCCCCCCCCACAGGCTGCTAGAAGACACCCTAGTTAGGGATGGCGGCCCCAGTAGGTCACTCTGAGAAGCTCCCTTCACATTCATTCTAAAGCCCGGACTCTGAGTGGGACAGGCACAACAGGGGTACACATAGTGACAACATGGCCTTATCCACAGGTGAAAGGCAGCCTTTGTGGAGAGGCTGCTACCCTGGCAGGGAGGTGGAGCAGGGGACCTGGCTCTGAGCCCTAGGCATTACTGTCTAACTGCAGCCTCAGAACCTCTGACTGGGTCCATACCAGGCGAGGAATCAGAGGGACACAGCAGCCAGGAACGCTGAACTGATGTGCACATTGCACTGTGGTGCTTATGACAGGGGCAGGAGAACATGGTGTCCCCCCCCCCCTGTTAAGGTCTGGATATGGCCTGTCCATGTCCAAGAGTTTTGTGTTAGAAGCTTGGTCCCCAGTGTGATGGTGTGAGGAGTGGTAGAACCTAAAGGGCAGAGCCTAAGGAGAGGTAGTTAGGTCATTGGGTGCATGGCCTCAAAGGAGATTAAGGAAGTTCTCCTAGGATCTCAGTTCCCAAAGGGCTCTTTGTTACAAAGAAGCAAAATGGCTCCTTCCCCATCATTCTGACTTCTAGTCTCACCATACACTCTCTCCCTCTGCACATGCTCCCACAGTGACATCACCTGCAAGTCTGTGATGTGGCCAAGAAGCCTGGGGGCCAAACTGATGAGGCAGCCCAATCTTGGACTTGCAGCTTCCCAGGCAGCTAAATCAACCTCTTTATTTTACCAAGTACCACACCTCAGGCACTTGGCTATACAATGAAGAACAGACCAAGATGGTTCCCAAAGGGGATATGGGCCACTCAATACTTAGTCATATTTTTTGGTTGCCACAACCGAGGAAAGGGGAGCTGCTGTACGGAGCAAGGTTACTTCAGTCAGGTTGCTAACACCTGTCTCCAGACCCATTCCTTTCAGGGTTTGGAGCTGGGGGACAGGTGACATAGTCCAGTGTGTTGCTGTTGGCTTTGGGACCCTACCACCATAGCACTAAATTATCTGTTCCTCTGGTGACTCAGGGAGCATACATCCTCACCCCCTTCCTCACCTGGGGAATCAAAGCCCCCTGTCACAGCAGTGACTAAACCCACAGTCAGAGGAAGAAGTTCTCGGAACAAACTCTACCATGACGTCAGCACATTTCCAATGAGAGAGACACGGACACCACTGGGCCACAGTTACGGAACTCCATGTTGGTCACATGACTGACTACTCCCACTGGGAGGGGGTGTCATCACCCCATCTTTCATATGAGGACACCGAGACTCCAAAAAGTAATAGCACCTGGGGTGTCCAAGAGCTGGGCTCCAAGCTAGGCTGCTGCCCAGACCTGGTTCAGTGGGCCCCTAACAACTGGTTGAAAGTTCAAGGGTATCCCTCAAAGCTGCATAGTGCTGGCAGGGAAGCATGGGCCTAAGTGGATCCCCAGGTTTTGAGAGGACTTTGTCTAGGGCCTCTGTGGCACATGGGTTCTGAGAAGAGGTATGACACAACTGTTTTGGTCCAACAGGCCTGGGCTTACACTTGCTCTGCAAACGGACTTGAGAAAACCACCACTAACAGTTTATGGCAGCGCAAGAAAGAGTGGTGGCTGTTGCGGGCTCACAGATGGGGGGGCTCACAGACCTGGTGGGTTGGTAGATCTGGCAGGCTCACAAATGGGTTGGGCTCACAGATCTGGTAGACTCACAGATCTGGTAGGCTCACAGATCTGGTAGGCTCACAGATATAGTGGGCTCACAGATGTGGCTGGCTCGAAGATCTGGTGCATTTATATATCTGGTGGCAGGCAGCATGAAGAATTCCAGACTTCTTCCAGTTGGTTTGTTACTGAAAACTGTCCCATACCCAAGAGGCAACTCAACAGGCTCCAACAAGAAACCAAGATTTGGCAGCATTTTAAATAGTTAAGGGGGAAAAAGAGGGTGGGGGTTGGGGAAACCAAGATAATTTAGCTGAGCTCTGAAGCAAGGAAAACTTAGCTCTATTTAAAGATACCACAGGTCCAGGAAGCAGCCCCCGCTGGCTGGCCCAGGACTGAGTAACTAAATGCCTAGCCAATAACAATACATGGGAACACAGCACACCCTTTCTTGAAGAGTATAGTGGATTCCAGGCCATCTCCTTCCAGAATTTTATGGACGACTCATGGAAGGCATGTATATCTGTCTGCTTTGTAAGAATGACTCTCTTAAACAAATAGAGCCAAAAGGGGCTTCCAGGGAGGCCCCTGGCCAGCCTTTTTCCAGCCAACGCCCTTTTCTAGTCATTGTTCCACACTTCTTTGTTAGGATTTTTTCCCTCCCTCTTGCTTTTTTGCTTCCTGGTTAACTTCTCCAGGGCTGCCACAGCCAGCTTCTTCCAGGCAGGGGCACCATCCCCCTTCACTCTTGGAGTGAAGTCCCCAGGGCCTCCTTTGGATCCTCTGTCCTACTACCCAGAACCTCTGAGGCGGAACCTGGGCTACCTCAAGAGCAAACAAGGTCCCTAAGCAGCCCTGGAGACCACCCACCTGCGGGTCACCATGGGCCCCAAGTCCACTGTCCATATTCTAGAACCCTCAGCCTTCCCATCTGCAAAATGACACCAAGGACCTATTTCCTCCATACCTTGCCAGCTCCAAACAAAAGTCTCATTTCACAGAGGGGGGTACTCCTGGGGAAACTTTCCCACATTGTTAAACGGAAGTTACTTGAGAGGGGCACTCAGATGACCCATGCCCAGAAGAACAAGGGGCTTGGTTGGCTGGTCCCACGAGGCTGGGCGCCTCTGGACAGGAGAGTGGCCTGAAACCGCGCCTCCGTGGGTCTCTCTCCTGGTTTCTGTCTGAGTCTCCAGCAGCGGCTGGGGCCAGACTTTTGCACGGGTGGGCAGGGCGGGGGCTCGCGAAGAGATGGCGGGGAGGGCGCGGGGGACCGGGGGCGTGCGGGGAGATGGCGAGGAGGGCTCGGGGACCAGGGGCGCGTGGGGAGACAGACAGCAGGGAGGGCGCAGGGCACAAGTTCTGCGCGGGGCTAGGGTCGCCGCGTGGCGTGGGCGCAGACTCACATAATGCTTGTTGGGCACGCGCCGCTTCTGCACATCCAGCACCTTCACCTCCACGATGCTGCGCCGCGGCGGCATGGCCTTTCTCCGCGCCCAGCGCCGTGCGGGCCGGACCGGGCCAACGCGATCCGAGAAGCCGAGCACTAGCCGCCGCTGCCGCTGCCGCCGCCGCCCTCTGCGCCCCGCCCCTGCCCGCCCCCGCGCCGCCCGCCCACCCCGCTTAAAGGGCCCGCCCGGCCGGGCCCGGCCACGTCCGCCCGCCCGCCCGCGGGCCTTTGTCCCCGCGCCCGGCGGGACGGCGAGCCCCGCCCCCTGCGCCCGGGCCTGGTGACTCTAAGCCCACGCAACCAAGCAGCCTGCTAGGGCTCTTCATCCCTGAAATGGGCTCAGGGTGGTTGCCCACCCCTCTCAGCATTCAGTCGCTATAAATCTGGTCGTCCACCCCCAACTCTGGGGTTTCAAGGGAGAAGCAGGGGTGACTAGGTCTCCTGGGTTCACTGTCTGTGACTTGGAGAGAAAAACTGCAAAAATGCTGGGCCGCAAATGTAAACGAAAGTAGATAGCTAACCCCTACCCCATCCATGATGGGCTGAGTTCACACCTGGTCCTGTGCCCTATCTCATAATGCCTGGGAATGGGGGAAGACGATTAATTGCCTTTTACAGAGGACCTAACTGAGAGCAGCCTACTAGATTCATAGAGCAGATGGGCTGCACCCTTGGTTGCCCCACACCAAGCAAATCAAAGCTACAGGTGGCTCTATAGTTTTTCACTGAGTGCCTCCTAGCATTGGCTAGACACTTAGTACCTGACAGATGCTGAATGAATGAATGAATGAATGAATGAATGAATGAATGACCAGACACACATAACAGCATGGATAGTTAGGGCTGCAGGTCAGTGTTCTCCCAGGCACTGATAAGGGGTTCCTCCCAGGCACCTTGCTATCCATAGTCCAACATCAGCCAAGGAATTTCTAATGGGAGGGTTTTTCCCAGTCCAGTCAGGCCTTGCAGATATTTTCATTTTGATTCCCTCTGGAAACCCCTCCAATGCCTTTCTGGCTTCCTTGCCCGTCTTTTCCACTGCTCTGGAGGTAGAGGCTGGTCTGATGGGCTTCACTTGGGTAATTTGGCTGGTGGGGGGCCCTAGCAGGAGAAGTCTGGGTAACACCCCTCTCTTCTGAATTATCTTTACCAATGGCTATGGTTTGATACTAGCAGTAGGCACAGTTCCTGGCGCAGGGCCCTCTTTTTGGTTCCCTTGGTGCAGCCCATCTGGTGAGAAACAAGACTCCTCATTAAGCTGTTCTAGCTGAACAATTTGGAGAGTGGCCTCCATTTTGGACCAGGGCCTTCTCTGGCCCAGTAATTCCCCGGGTACCTTCTTCTCCAGCGGAGTAGCCACCCAAGACATCCACTGGCCACACTAGAAATATACAGTGTGATGACCGACTGGCTTCTCCCATCCTCTGCACAAAGCAAGCCTCCCTAACAAGCAGGACCACAGACTGTAGCAGAATGTGAATGCAATATGAATCAACCAGCTCCCAGGTTTCCAGCCTTCCTCGTGTATCAGTTCCCTGCCTGGCCTGGGAAGATTATGTCTCCCACCCACCTGTAGCAGCAATTATACCTCATCTCCCAAGTCCCCCAACTCCCCTACCCCACCTGCTTATTTCTGTCCATTTGAGTCTAATCACTCTGGGTCACTCAAGAAAAGTTCCCTCTCAGCATCTTTCTTGGGTGTCTGGCTCATTGCACGCAATGTTCATCCTCATCCATGGTACCTGCTTCAGAATCTCCTTTCTTTTTGTGGTTGAATACTGTTTCATTGTTTGCTTTTTACACTTTTCTTTATTCATGTGTCTGATGGTCACTTTAGTTGTCACCACCTTGGACTGACGCTGCTGGGAATGTTGACATACAGGTATGTGTTCAAAGTCCTTGCTTGCAGTTCTGTAGGGTATATCCAGGAAGTAGAATTTCTGGATTGCATGGCAATTCTATCTTGATTTGTTCATTCTTTTATGGAATTGCCCTCTATTTTCCTGGTGGCCTTGCCATTTTTACTGCCCATTGGCAGTGCACAAGAGGGCCAGCTTTCTCTGCTTTGCTCCCCACCCCTGTTGCTTTCTGCTTTTTCTATTGTTCTCCACCACAGCCACCCCAAAGGTGTGGAGCAGTGAATCACTGTAGCTTTATTTGCATTTCTCCAGTGATTAGTGACAGGGAAAAAAAAAAAAAAAAAAAAAAAAAAAAAGAAAAAGAAAAAAAAAAGAAAGAAAGAAAAATGCCTGTTCATGCTCTTTGCTGATTTTTATACAGGGTGTCGACGATTTTTCTCTTGCCTTTAGGAATCTTCAATTTAACCTCCTACACATCTGGGCTTTCCCAAGCAGCCAGCCTATTTGAGGTGGGGTGGGGACTGAAATGTGGGCTAGTGATGTGATGATTGGCAATTCACACTGGAAAGGGCTACCCAGGCTCTGCCTGGGAGGCACTGAGGATTATCTGCTGAGAAACAGAACAAAACAACACAAAAACAAAACAAAACAAAAATCCCTAAAACAAAAACACAAGCCCTCAACTCACAGTCAAAAGAGCTTAAGGGGGCAGGGCTACCTACTTGGCTAGCCACACAAAACACTTCTGCAAATTCAAGTGCACTAGGGAATCCAAATCTCTAGCAGGAGAGAAAATCCCACTTGGATTCTAAACTTACTCCAGCCACTCACCAGCCTAATAGTATTTGCTGAGGTTTGCCAGTGAGCTTGGCACTTTCCATGCCAATCCTCTTACTAGGGTACCATAGCCCTGTGACTTATAAGCCATCCTTTCTGTTTGCTGATGGGGAAGTTGAAGAGGTTTGAACAGGCAGTGCTTCTTGAGATGACAATTCTGGGATAAATCGGCACTTACAGATTGTCCGACTTCACATTTTGTGCCCAGCTATAAACCCGTGTCTAACAGAGTGTGACCTTGGGCAAGTACCTTGGTCTTCTCATCCACAGGTAGCATAAGAACAGCTACAGTTGGGGGCTGGAGAGATGGCTCTTCCAGAGGACCCAGGTTCAATTCCTAGCATCCACATGGTGGCTCAAATCTGTCTGTAACTCCAAGATTTGACACCCTCACACAGACATGCATGCAGGCAAAACACCAATGCACATAAAATAAAAATAAATAAATTATAGATATAAAAAAGAACAGCTACAGTCTTGGAGACTTGTCTGAGGGAGGCAGTTCCTGGAAAATGTGTGTATTTTTGTGATTTTTCTATCAGCTATACCGATAACAGCTAAACTCTCCCTTAAACCTCCTGTAAGTCTCAGGTTTCACTTTAATCTTGGTGATGCCCAACTACAACTATGTTCTTCTTACTCTGAACCTCCTTGAACTGCTGATCACATGTCCATCCTCATTCCCTACCAGTCACTTCTCTCTTCTGGTTCCCAGGGACTGGGGATATGACTCAGGGACAAAGAGCTTACTGTGCAAGTATGAGGCCTCAGTTTGGGTTCTCAATACCCATATAAAAAGCAGAGTACAGTGGCTCATGTCTGCAAGCTCCCCAATGGAGGAGGAGGACACAAGATAGTCTGGTTCCTGGAGCTTGCTGGCCAGACATTCTGGCCAATGGGTGACCCTCAGATCCAGTGAGAAATTCTGTCTCAAAAAATAAGGTGGAGAGGGACAGAGGGGAACACATGAACGCTAGTGTGTACATACAAGCAAGTACACACACACACACACACACACACACACACACTGGTCTATGGGCATGACTGTGGGCATTTTCTTGACAGCTAATTGATAAAGAGGGACCAGCCCACTGTGGGCAGTGCCATCCCTAGGCAGGAGCCTTGGTTGTATGAGAAGGCAGCTGAACAAGCCAGGGGAGCAGCCAGTCAGCAATGCTCCTTCATGTTCTCTTCTCCAGTATGTCCTGGATTCCCCCAGTTGTAAGATGAAGTAAATTCCTTTTTCCCCGGTTTGGTTTTGGTCATGGTGTTTTATCACAGTAATACAAAACTAATTAGGTCAACACACAGAAACAAAAGAAAAGACAAAAAGAAGAAAAACAGGCTGGAGAGGTGGCTCATGATAAAGAAGCCCGATGACCATTATGATAGAAGGAAAGAGTTGTCCTCTGCCCTCTGACCTCCACACATGCATTGTGACACACTGGCCCCAGTGCACACACACAGAAGCCAACAGATGGATGTTGAGACAGCAAGACTACCACTGGGAGGCAAGACCATCCCAGTCCCCTCCCCTCCTGTGTGGACACTGCAGACAGAACGGCCTCCTCCTCCCTGTGGCTATACTTTCTGTTTCAACACCCTTAACACCAATCCTGGATCCTGGTTTAATCCTTAGTACTGCCAGGCCAGAGCGGCCCTTAGGCCCTTCCCCAGCTCCGATAGAATCCACAGCCTGTGAGAGAGGCTCACTTCACTATCCCTCAGGTTTTCACTACCCTGCCTTCCCTAAGGGCTATTCCTCAGGGCTATTTTGAAATAAACCATTCTTTCACTGTTGAGCTTTGTCTTCTTAATGTAATCTCTCTCTTTGCTTCCCTCTTTCTTTTCTTCTTTCTTTTTTAAAGAAAAGGAGGGCTTGAGAAATGGCTCAGCAGTTAAGAACTTTTGTAGAGGACCTGAGTCTGGTTCCCTGCACCCATCAGGGAAAGCTCATAACCTGTAACTCCAGCTCCAGGGGATCTGATGCCCTCTTCTGTCCTTGTGGGCACCTGTATTATTATACATGCAAATAAAACATGTCTTAAAAGAAAAGGAAAAAATTCTTCTTCAGGGAACTGCTGTACCTTACACACCTACCCTATTTCCACAGCCTTCTGTGGTCTAATGATTGGCACACAGTCTTGAGGGCGCCCTCTACAGGCTGGTGTGACAGTGCACTACTTATCAGCACCATCCTCATCTCTCAAATCATAATCACTTTGCACAACCCAGTGCTTGTTAAATGTCTGCTTATAGGATTCAGCCCTGAGGGTGCAGACAGTCTCTGCATGGGTGCATGAACATTGTACATCCCTACGTGTTCACACACACGCGCACACACACACACACACACACACACACACACACAAACACGGCTTCCTCACCAGACTCCAAGTGTCCTAGGAGCCAGAGTGGCTTTA